CAATAGCAAAATTTCACTGTAAATTTCAAGTCAGCTGCAATACTTTTAAATCCTATCATTGATGACACCATCTTCAACAGCTTTTTATGATTTATGCCTTCTCTAATCAATTTAGAAATTAATCTCCCACCTTCATAGGTCATCTTTTCTTATGAATCTTTTACAAAATGTCTTTCAACATGAAAATAACAAAATACTTATTTTGCTGAAGCACTTGCCATATGAGAAATAAACCTACAATAACTAGAAGTAACATACAAATTTATTACTTCACAACTATCCTTCCCGTAATCCCAACCATCACTACTAGAAAAATGTAAATTAGCGATGAAATTTAGTGATGGATTGTCTATTTCTCTCTAAAATACTAAATTAGTGAGGAAATTAGCGAGGGATGTTGATTTCGTAGCTTGATTTAAAATTAGTGAGAAAATTAGCGAGGGACTGTCAATCCTTCTCTAAAATAAGAGAATTGGTGAGGAAAATAGCAAGGGACTATCAATCCCTCTCTAAAATAAGAGAATTAGCGAGGAAAATAGAGAAGGACTATCAATCCCTCTCTAAAATAAGAGAATTAGCGAGAAAAATAGCGAGGGATTGCAAATCCCTCTCTAAAATAAGACAATTAGTGAGGAATTTAGTGAGGGATTCTATCTCTAACTAATTACTGTAAAAAAATTAACTTTTGACAATGACTTCTAATTATACATTTAATTATTTTCATTTAAAAATAATAATTAAATTTAAAAATTAACTAAAATATTTATAATAAAATTGTTCAATATTTTTTTTATTTTAAGTTGATTTTCAGTAATAAAATAATATTTTATTAAAAATATAATATAAAGAATAATTTAAATAAAATATAAATATTTTTAACATATTAATAATTGAAAATAAAATTTAATATGTATATGTGTGTATTTTTATAATATATTATTTAATATATTTATGTAGTTAAATAATATATATACATATTTAATTTCTCATATAATGATTGCATGTGCCTTTCAGTTCAACTGGCAAAGAAGGAAAGCATAAAGCTTGAAAGGTATGAGGTCAAGGGTTCAAACCTTGGCTTTGGCATAAACATGATGAATATATGATATGGTAAGGAGCAAGTAATATGGTGCAAGGTGGACAATGACGTGTTATGAGTCGTCGCACATGTAGTGGGTGATAGGGCGCGAAATGGTAATTGACATGGTGGTTGACAAAAATATAAAAATTCTTTCTTGCATGCATGGAAGAGGAGATGTAAAAGAAAGAGAAGAGAAAATTGCAAATTTTTCTTGCGTGCATGACCGAGGAGATGTAAAAGAAACAATGTATGTAATTATTTATTATCAAGAAAGGAGAAGATGATGACTCAAATGATGATCCACTCCATTAATTTTTTACCCACATTTTTTGAGTAGGAAACCACATGAGAGTAGATTTTTTGCTCCCAAAAACAAGAATAGAAAACATGACATAAGCGATTTTGCTATTACCTTTTAGTATTTAGGGAAAGGGCAATTTTGTAAAGTTAGATATGTTTTTTTATCCTCATGGTCCTTAATTGAAATTTTAAAATGTTATGGTCCCTAATTGAAATTAATGTCCTTAGGGAGTCCTTAATTGTCATTTTTCCTAAAAGAAATGGCACCTGAGTAAAAAAATCTAACTATTTGTTGATAAGCTTCTCCCCTTAAGTCTCTCTTGAACATTTAATTAATTGTTGATTGAGTGTTGCTCTCATCTTTACTATTACTTTTTGAACTTTTCAAGAAATTCATGATCCCTTTTTTCTTTTCTCAAGACTGAACTTGTGCTTGTGTATTTGGATCTTCAGCAATATCGACCCATTATTTTTTTTCTTTTAGATGCTGTACATTTGGCTTCATATATATGTTAACATCATTTTCCTAACATCTTCAGAAATACTAACATAAGGTTCAATATCTATTTCAGTGCCAGCTAAGTGATGTTTAAGTCTATAAATACCTTCACTGACAATCTTGCCACAATAGTTACACTTCACTTTTTTACCATTTCCATCAATATCCATTTCATATTTCCATCTTATGTCAAACCTATTACTAGGATAATTTTTCCTTCTAGAAATAACTTTTTTTCTGCTAGCTTTACTTGATGACATATTCAATTTATTATATTGACTACTAACCAAGTAGTCAACCAAAATTCTAAAATAAAAAACATGTTTAAAAAATTAGATATATAAAATGTGATATTTTATTTAAATATATTAATATATCATTTATATTTTGTAGCATCTAATTTTTGTAAAAGCCAAAGTAAAATTTTGAAAAAGTTAAATTAAAATTAAATTGATTTAAATATTTAATAGACTAGTTATGTGGCTTTGACATGCATAGGCTATGATAACTAGTAAAAGTTATTGTGCTTTTTCAAAGATTTAAAGATCTGAAATGCAAACCTTGAAAAATGGATGACGAAGGACTATTGAGTATCGTGTTGTATTATTGCGTGCTACCTTTACTCAAGTCTGCCACTTTTCTTCAATTAAAAAGCAACTTTTCCTCTCTTCTGCTTTCTCTATCCCCCTCTCTTTTGGTTATCTTTCTCCAACCCGCGATCAGGCACCGAGACGGAGTCTTGAAGATGTGAACAATGAAAGATGAATCAAGAAGGCACAAACAATATAGGACGGTCGGCGATTGTCTTTTAGGGCAAGTTATCATTTGTATTTTGTTTTTATTTACTGTTTGCTAGGCTCTTAGGCTATTTTTTCTCCGGTTAGATTTTAAGGCAGACTCCAACTCACCTAACTCTGCTTAAACTTGACGAGTTTATTGTTTTGTCACAAGTTGATAACAAGTTTATTTGAGTCAAGATTAGCACCGGGTTTATAATCGAGTTAACTCATTTTGCCATGCTTAAATGTTGACTCCATGAGTTTACTGAATTAACTCGACGAGTTCACAACCATGCTTTTAATTAGATCATTTTAGGTAAAAGAATCTAGCAGTAGGTGAGTAATAAAATTTTTTTCCAAATCAAAAGGTTTCCCAAAGTTTTATCTCAAGACCTTGTACTTAGAGAATCATTGTAGATTACAAGGTCTCAAAAAACATATTAATAATCATGCTTAAATCTATTTAAGCAACCAAACTCAAATTAATTTGTCAAAAATAACTTGTTCTGGTTCATGTGAACAGACCCACATACTTAATTTGTATCTTGTAAATTTGTTTATGATCAAGTGATATATCTTATTCGAGTCATGACCATATGCTAAATATGGGTAGTTTTTTATTGAGAATTCCAACGTGAATTTATCATGCCGTAAGAGATTTGTCCTTTTCGCTCAACTTAACCTTAGTTATTTGCAAGTGTTATATTTTACTATAGCTAAAACATATAGAATAGCACTTCCTTTATTCTTATATGAGTCACTTCTAACTACCTTATAAGAACTAAAAAGAGATATTTATATTATTGCTAATGTTTGAAAAATAAAGAAATTTCTTAATGTACCCTTATTAATTTCCTTATCTTTAAAAATACTTTGGGTTTGTTTGGTTTTGTTCCCATTTTTTTTTTGTTTGTAAAAACTATTTTGTAAACCAATTACAATTGTTTTTCAAAACAAAACAAAAAAAACTGTTTGATTATGTTAATTTGAAAATAATTTTAGAGTTAAAAATAGTTAATAATAGTGACCTATGATAATGGTTTACCATAATTGAAGGTAATTTACAATAATCAAATGGAGTGTATTTAAAAAAAAAAACAAAGAAACTGAAAATAGGTCTAACATGTTTCCCTTTTTATGTTTTTAAGAACCAAAAAATGAGAATAGTTTTAAAAATATGTAAGTTCAAAAAGCATATCTAAACAATTTTTTTTCATTTTTTACTTTTAAAAGCAGAAATCAAATTGGCTCTGAGACTAATTTTTTATTTCATCTGATTAAAAAAAAGGTTAATATTTCATTATTTCAGCTTTCTAATCCGTTAATGGGCTACAAAATTGGTTGGGCCAGCCCCTTCTTCTTTATTGGATTAAATTCATTAAACCGAACATTTTTCAGTACGTTTTTTAAACAAACCGTATATATCTTCAATCAAAATCTAAACCTAAAAAGTTAATATAACTAATAAATATAAAATATTCATTTTCTATTCATTATTAGAAAGAATACCAAAAGGTGTTTTATTCAATTACTTGAGAAAGTTAAATTATCTTATTTTAAGATAACGGCCCAATAACGGAATTTTGGATTAATCTAAGCAGATATCTATAGTACCCCTAAATTTCATAGGATACTGACAATGAAATTAAAAAAAAAAAAAACAAGAGATTATAAAAAGTGTGTAGCGCACAACTCTTACTTAATTTAACTGCCCTAAGAAAAAAAGTTAAGGATCATTTTTATTTTTAAATTATACATAAAATGTCACAAATATTTATAAATTTAATTATGAGTCAATTTTATCTTTTAATTTTAAAGATTTTTTTCATTATTACCCTAACATTTAAAACACTTAACAACCATAAATTATCAGTGGATTTTGCTTGTAAACACTGTATTTTGTCTGAATATTTTTTTAAATTTAATCAAAATAATAATAAATTTGACCAAAAAATATAAAAATACAATTTAATCCTTTTTAGGATTATATTTCAAAATATTTTTTTAATTAATAGGGTTTAATTTTATTTTAACCTAGATAATTTTTTGTTGGTTAAGATTTTATTTCTTTTAATTCATTAAAATAACTAAAAAAATATAAAAATACAAAAATAAAATTTAATCTTTTTTAGGATTATATTTTAAAAAAATAATAATATAAAATAATTAAAAATAGCTCACTTAAATCTTAAAAAAATTTAAATTATTTGAACCATTTAAAAATATTAAAAATTAATTTTTGAGAGTTAACTCTTTTAAGTTAGTTTTAAAAATTAGATTAAAAAAGGCATTAAAAAGACCAAAAAAAAGATAAATGTGGGCCGGATGAAACGCTGAATCATCAGGGTTTCATCACAGCCCTAAAGGGCTTTCCCGTAAAAAACGAAATACAGTAGACATAGAGTGGAGAAGACAAAAATGCAGAGGGAGTCTAGCAGAAAAAGCAGAAGGCAGAGCAGAAACTCCAGTCACGTGAAAAATACTTTCAGCCAGAGATGAGCAAAAGAGAAGCACAGACAAAAAGGCAGAGCAAAAATGAGAGAGAAAACAGACACACAAACACAGCACACTTTCGGCTAGAGAGCAAAAGAGAGCAGACTTGCGTGCGACTGAGAAGACTAGAGTAGATGCACACAGACAGACACTTTCGACGCGGGCAGAGAGAAGAGACATGCACGGTAAGAGGAAGAACAGGTATTTTGCTTCGATTAGGAAGACAGAAAATAGAAAAAAAGGGGAGAGACCGAGAGTCAATGGGGGATCGAGTATGGAAGAGAGAGAACCGAGAGAGCTAAAGAAAAAAGGGATCTAGACGAGAGAGGCAGAGTCAAAGAAGGCCGAATCTAGGTTTTAGTAGAGGACAAAAAATCTAGAGAAGGAAGAGGCAGAGGTCAATGAAGGTGAAAAAAAAAAGATATGGGAGATGGAAAGAGAAAGAGGAATCTGGGTTTTGATTTTCTGAGAAGGACCGAGAATAAGAGAGACGAGAAGGATTCGAGTTTGGAAGCACATGGAGCAATGAAGAACAACTAAGAGCTAGAGAAGAGTTGTGGAGCACTCAGAGGGAAGTGGCGAGCGGTTGAGCATTTGAAGAAGCTAGAATTGTGCACAAAATAAGAAAGAAAAGAAGAAAATCAATAAACAAGAGGAAGAGCTCAGTTTTGAATGGCGAGCAGGAAGACCTGGTTGCATCTTCATCTCACTATGTATTTCTTGTCTCAGGTATAAGTTTATCAACTAATGCTGCAGTTTATAGCCTTTGTATGGGATTCATAAATTCGAAAGCATGGTGATCTAAAACTCTTCTAAAGGATGCTTGTATGATGTTTGTAGCATGGCTAGCCTCTGTTAATGAGGAAGCTTGTGATAGATTTGATCATAACAATGGAAGAGTATGAAGGCATAATCAAATCTACACAAGCCCATATGATCATTTCTATATCAAAGCTCAGGGATAAAGATAGAACACGAAAGCATACTTGAATTAATCGCCATGTTTTGAGGGTGTGTTTTCTGGATTTGTTACCAGTAGGAACTCTATATGTTTTCAAGAAAGGGAATTGGAGAACGTTCCTTTTAACCGGCCAAACCAGTGACCACAATCCTTATTTATAGGGTTAATAGGTTTGCGATATTTATGATATGGCCTCTAAACAAATCATAAATATCACCTTAGTCTTTACACATTTATCTTATCACAATTATACCCCTAAGCCTTCAAACTTTAATCCAAATAGATCATTTTATTTAGACTTAATTAAATAATGGCCACACATTTTTAATATATACATGTGTGGCTCCATATGTTGGATTTTATTTCCTACAATCTCCCATTGGGCCACATACGTAAATCTTGATAAAAATGTGTTTATTCTTATGAGCTTAAAAAAATATGTGCCATTATATACACAGGGTATAAACAATCTGGTCCATTGACTAAATCAATATAGGATCAAAGAGGCTTTTGTCATAAGTACACAATGACTAGGCCTAGCAATGGTCACATCTACCAATACAATCAATGACATAGATCAATCATAGATGTGTAGCATGAAAAATTACATGTGATGTGACCTATACATGTCTATTTCCAACTGGTCATCCTAACTTTAGTGAAATCATTACTTCAACATGATGTAACAAAATGGAATACAATAACTTAATACTGCATAACTTCATTCTTGATCAGAAAATACACTTTAGCATAAAATAGTCTTGCATTGAACACTATATACTCCCACTATACTAAGATATCCTCAAATATAATAACACCCATATGAGCAACATGCTCTAAAAAGACCTCTAGTTTTAATCCTTTTGTAAAAGGATTTGCTAACATAGATTTTGACCTAATGTGTTCAATAGATATATGTCCATTATGTACTCTTTCTTTCACAACAAGGAATTCAATGTCTATGTGCTTTAACTTAGACGAGCTCTTATTGTTATTTGCATATTAAACTATAGTTTTATTATCATAATATAGCTTTAATGGTCTTTCTATGTTTGTTATAATGCACAGCCCAGTGACAAAATTTTGTAGCCAAATTGCATGATTAAATGCCTCAAAACAAGCTACATATTCTTTAAATGTGGAAGAAGTTATAAGTGTCTGTTTGGCACTTCTCTAAGAAACAGCTCCACTAGCCAATAGAAAAATGTAGCCTGAAGTGGACATGTTACTATCTTGGCATCTACTGAAGTCAAAATTAGAATGTGCTATGATCTTCAATTGATCTGATCGACGGTATATGAGCATGCAGTTCCTTGTTCTTTTCAAATAGCATATAACTCGTTTGGCTGCTTTCCAACGAATCTCTCATGGATTACTTAGATATCTACCTAACATGCCAACAATGTACACAATATCTGGACGTGTACAAACTTGGGCATACATCAGATTCCCTATAGCTGATGTATAGGGAAAGTTTTGTATGGCTTTAATTTTAACTTGAGTCTTAGGGTATTGATTGAGGCCTAAATTTATTACTTTTAGAAACAAGGGTATTACCTGGTCTGCAATTTTGCATGCCAAACCTGCTAAGGACTTTATTTATATTGTTCCTTTGTGATAAACCAAGAATACCTTGAGTATAGTCTTGATGTATCTTGATTCCCAATACAAAAGATGCTTTACCAAGATCTTTCATCTCAAAATTTCTTGATAGAAATTCCTTGGTTTCATTTAATAATCCTTTATCATTAGTGGCAAGCAATATGTCATCCACATATAAAACTAGGAATATGATATTACCCCCACTGAACTTTTAATACACGCAGTTATCAACAAGGTTTGCCTTAAAGCCAAATGAGATAATAACTTGATGAAATTTGTAGTACCACTGACGAGAAGCTTACTTAAGCCCATAGATGAATTTTCTTAATTTGTAAATTGTTTTCTTTGAGTCTCGTAACACAGTTTTCTGGTTGCACCATATAGATTGATTCATCAATGTCACTATTGAGAAACGCAACTTTGACATCCATTTGATAAAGCGCAAGGTCAAAATATGAAACTAAGGCCATGATTATCCTAATAGAATCTTTCAAAGAAACTGGAGAGAAAGTCTCTTTATAGTCAATCCCTTCCTTTTGAGTAAAGCCCTTTGCCACAAGATGAGCTTTATATCTCTCCACATTACCATGTGCATCGCATTTTCTTTTAAATATCCATTTGCAACCAATGGATTAAGCGCAGTGAGAGAGTTGGATACTTTATCATCTGTGCACTAGAGAGAGTTGGGGGTGGCAGGCGAAATAAAGCAAAAAAAAAAAAAAAAAAAAGAAAGAGAGGAAAAAGAGATGAGGAACCGTCCATCCACTGTGGCTTCCACCGCCCCAGGTTGAGGCCACCGTTCTCCCTCACTTTGTGGCCACTCATTCTCACTTCATTCCTCCCTTCCCATTATTTTTTCATTTTAGATACCAACCAGTTCGTGTTAAAACCAGGCCGATCATTTTTTTATATTATTCCTTCTTCGAATTTTATTATTTCCCACTTTTAAAACAAAGACAACTAAAACCGAGTCTTCTACATTTATATCAAGTTTCATCTTAGTTTCGATCAATAAAAGTCACTTGACTTGGTAAGCATTTAATTATAACCAACCCCCATGAAATTTGGCAAGCCCGCACTTGAGAGATCCAATTTTATTGACAATGTAAAATTTTTTTTGATAAATAGAGCCAAAAATTTAGACAAAATGTACTTATTCTGTCCGGGCTTGACAAAATCTAAATTTAATAAAAAAATTCATATAGTCAAAGCTTATGACCCAAATACTCTTAAACTTCAAATTTGTTTGGATAGTGCAAATACTCAAATTGTCATTTTTTCTCTATTTTTTCAGAAAAATCATTTTAATTTTAAAATTGATTATTTTTATTATTATAAAAAACATAAAATATAATTTTTAGAATACTTAAAAAATGCAGAAGACTCAACTTTAAAAAAATTGTGGGTATTAAAATTTAAAAATAATATTAAAATATATTTTAAATATTATTTTAAGTTATTCCATAGATTAAAAAGATAAAAATATCAATATTTTAAATTTTTAACAAAAATATCTATCATCATATACCCAAATATACAGTCTCATAGTATAAAATAAGCTAAAAATTAAAAAATTAATATTTAATATTTATTTTTTAAAAATGTAAATTACATCCAAATATTCAGGCCAAGCCCGAATTTAATTAGACTTGGCCTGAACATAAAAAAAACAATTAAGCTAGGCCTTAATATTTTTTTTAAACTTATTTAGAATCAACTTAAATTACAAGTCTTATTAGTGGATAATCTGTAAATATCTTTACAAACATTCTTTAAGTCTCTGGAACATTGTCTTAGCCGAGATGAGAGCCTTGGACCCAACTTACTTAAATTTTTGTCTATAAAAAAGTTTTAGTTTTATTATTTTATATTTTATATTGATCGCAAAATTAGCACTTTTAGTGCTATCATGTTTTAGTCTCTCCTCCTCTTGAACAAGATAGGAAATGAGCTCATTTAGAGTCCATTTCTCCTTCTGATAGTTATAACTGACTTTGAAATGACTGTAATGCATAGGGAGAGAGATTAAAACCAAATGCTCCAATAAGTCTTCAGATAGCAAAAGCTTGAGTTCCTTAAGCTTAGCAGCTATATGAGACATTTCCATAATATATTCTCTAATGTTTCCTTTTCCTTTATACTTCATGGAAATTAAGCATTGCAAAAGCATGCTTGTTTCCGCCTTATCACTTTTTGCAAAGCGTTTTTCAATTTTAGTGAGGAAATCTTTAGCATTGGTGAGCCCTTCAGACACTGCACCTCTAAAAGACTCCGGAATGGTGCGCTTAATGATCATTAGACTCATGCGATTTGAGCGATCCCACTTCTTAAAGTACCTCCTTTCATCAGAGGAACTTACATCTGTAAGAGGAGGTTGCTCAACCCTTAATGCAAGGTCTAGATCCATGCAACCCAACATAATTTGTATGGTGTCTTTCCATTCCTTAAAGTTTGTTCTACTCAATATAGGAACAGAATTCAAATTGGTGGATATTGATGAAACAATAGCTAAAAGAAAAGAATACAATACAATAAATTATACTCACGACAAAAAATTCAACTAACAAAAAATAAATTTAAATAATTAACACCTATGTCAAGATATTGATACAACATTAATATTAAGTCTTTGGACAATGATATTAATTGTAAGTGGTAATCTTGTTTCAATAATCAAATATTGACAATAATTACTGCCAAATAATAAATAATTTTTGCATTAAAATATTATTCACATGTAATATTTTATAATTGTCACACATTTATCATTGTATATGTGCATGCATAATTCGATCAAGCATCAATCTTCCTTTGGGTTAATTAAAATACTCACATGATATCATGCACACACTAAAATAATCTATTATATAAAAAAATATTTTCACAGGAGAGGTCACTTTAGTGACATTCATGTGTCAATATAATCATAAAAATAATAGATAAACTTTAGAGAGTTAAATTAAATAAAATGCCTTATGTAATTATTTGAATTTAATTATTAGATCTTAAAACAACATTATATATATAACAATTCTAATATAATCATCATAATGATATTTAGCCCAAATATTTTGGTTAGTGATCTCCATATATCTATTCAAATCACAAATGTAACCCAAAAAAAAAAAATCCTTATACATTTGATAGAAAGTTTGATTGAAAAGCAAAGTTGTGGGCCACCAACTCATATGCGTAATCATCAAGCAATTTTATCATGATTTTCAATCAAGATACTATTTATTAATTTATTTAATATGTGGGCCTCACTGTAAATAAATCTTCACATATAATAATAACATCATATATTGGAAAGGTCAAATCAAATTTCCCTTCCCTTAATCCATCTACACATTAAACCATTGTGGACCCTTAATATTTTAATATATTATTATAACTAAATCATCTTCATCGTTTTGGTTCTGGAAAAAAAAATCCTAGGCTTGTATTTTGTAGAGAGAATAAAAACAAAAAACAAAAGACACTGATCTGAAAAAAAAAACTCATACCCATAACCATCAACCTAGTAGTTTGAGTGAGAAAATTCCAGTCGGTGGTTTCTTCAGTCAATTAAGATCCCCACGTAGCAGCGAAAAGGGCAAATTTTTTTTATTTTTATTTTTATTTTTTTTGGAAAGAATTCCCCATCCAAATATGCTTCCTCCATGGGAACCAAGCTTTAAGGGTGGCCGACCGGAGCAATTATCGGCAGTTATCGAAAGTTACTGTCGGTAACTATCATCCATGATTGTTAATTGCCTCTGTAACCGCCGACTACAATACCTAAGTACAAACAAAATTGGGTTCTGAATCCTTATACAAACTTGTTTTGTTTTGTTTTTGTGGGTAAGTTTAAAAAAAAACTAGTACAGATGAAAACTTCGAAGGTGTGGAGGCGGGAAAGGAAAAAAAATCAACCAAATATATTTTCCAAAAGAATTGATTATAGAAAGAGGCTTTGATACCAAATGATAGATTTGATCATAATAGTGGAAGAGTATAAAGGCATAATCAAATCTATATAAGCTTATAAGATCATTTCTATATCAAAACTCAGGGTTAAAGATAAAACACGAAAGCGTACCTGAATCAATCGCCATGTTTTGAGGGTGTGTTTTTTGGATTTGTTACCGGTGGGAACTCTGTATGTTTCCAAGAAGGGGGACTGGTGAACTTTTCTTTTAACTGACCAAACCAGTGACCACAACCCTTATTTATAAAGTTAATAGGTTTGTAATATTTGTGATTTGGCCCATAAACAAATCATAAATATCACCTTAGTCTCTACACATTTTTCCCATCACAATTAAACCCCTAAGCCTTTAAACTTAAATCCAAATAGATCACTTTATTTAGACTTAATTAGATAATGGCCATACATTTTTAATATATACATGTCTGGCCCTATATGTTGGATTTTATTTCCAACAATTTGATCATGGTAATGTTGTTTGAATGTTGAAAATAATCCTTAAACTATCAATAGAGAATTTTTAATCAGGATCTTAACAAAGATAATATATTTTGCTTGAAGATTTAGTAGTGCTGTGATAGGTTCCGTATATGCATTTATTCTGGTTAGAATGAGATATTCTTTGATTTGATTTTATGTGTGCATCTATGCTGAGTGTTTGTTCTGCCTTGGTATAAAAAAGTATCCTCTTGGTTTGAAAATTGCAGATAAAGGCCATGGTTTGAAGAGATTTTGTTTTCCTCCCCCTGGTTGTTTTTAAGTTCTTACGTGATTGGCATGAGTTAGTATGGGTCACTAATTGACTACCTATAAAATCCTATTTGATCTTGGGAATCAAATATTGGTTGCATACAAATTATGAAAATTTGTTAAGCTGAAATCCTTTTGTCCACTGTAGTAGGTGGAATTGCTCTAAGTGATTTTCTCCAAAGATTTTAATATGCATTAGAAGGTGTTTTGGACTTTTTCTCTTTTATGAAAAACTTGATTAAAGTTCTATTTGCTCTCTTTATCAATTTAATTTGGTTTTGGGCATTTTCCCACCATGGTTTTTTCTCTTAGACATAAAAAAAAGGTTATTGTGGTTATTGAGTCAATTGTTGAATTGTATTTCCTTTAACTCAAGTGGTGTTGATTGATTATTATCATTGGATTGTCTTTGATTTGGGTTTTGGCTTATTCTTGGCATTAGTTTGATTATTCTTTTTGTTCTTTTCTATAGAATTCAGTCCATGAGAAGTTATTGGAATCAATTTTTCCTTCAAGCATTTAACACATTATATATTCTTGACTTTCTGTAAAAGAAGGCCCAAGTTTTATTGCTGTTCTAATTAGCTTGATTTGATTTTGAGCTTATATCAGTCATATTAGTGTCTCAAACAGTGAGAGAATTTGTTGTAATGCCAAGTCAAAAGAGAAGTGAAATATAACATGGTTTGCTCTTCTTTTTGTTCCGATGAATTCTATGTTTTTAGTTATTCTTAAGTACACAGCATTATTCATAAATGCCTTATCTTGAATTTTAGAGCTTGTATTTTGAGATTTTGAGAATTTTCATTGGCGTTCAACGTGATTTCATACTATATAAATTAATAAGATTTTACAAGTATAATAATCAATCTTGTTTATTAAACATGGGTTCTAATGGTCCATTACTTACATTAACAATTTTGTTCTTATCACTTCCCAAATATGATTTAAATTATTAAAAAAACATTTAAATAATATCATGTGAGATTTAAAGAATCTTCGTAGATAATTAAATTAATCACCTCATTGTGTAGGATAATAAGTTCTCATAAGTGTTGTAGTTCTTAATTTCTATAATAAATAAATGATTTTTATAAATAATGATATAATACACAATTTAAAAAAATTAATTAATCAAATTAATATATTTAAATAATAATTATATTTATTGATTATATTTATTAGTCACGTGAGATTTTTTAATCTTCATAGACTTTTAAAATAATTATATTATCACATGAGTCAATAAAACTTTGTAAATATAATGATTAAGTTTTTTATAGAAAAGTATATTCTAAATCAATTAAATTAAAAATGTACTTAAATATATACTATTTAATCTTTTATTATGTGAGAATTTTGAATCTCCACAAAAATTTAAAATAATTGTATTAATGTATAAGCTAATAAGGTTTTGCAGATATAGCAGTTAAATTTTCAATCATAAATATAAAAAAAATAATTTTTAAACTCTTTTCTTTTTTTATTCCAAAAATTTAAAAATTAAGAAAATAATTAAAATTAAATTACTTTATGCAATTTAAAACACACATATCAAAATTTTAGAAAATTATTTTAGTTGCAAAATAGTAAATTATTTTTAATTAATTTCTCTTCAAAAATAATTTTCTCCAACAAACTTATAATCCTGAACTATGTGAATTTTGATTTTCATCACAGGGTATGTAGGCCTCAGAATCTAATTCTAAGTCAAGTCCTCCCTCATAAGTAAATAACTATTTCTCACTTAATTATTATCATTTTTTTATATATCAAACATGTGAATAAGAAAGGGATGATTAAAATAACTTTAAAGCTATATAATTTAGCACAACAAACTTTAGGTAACCGTTCTCATAAATGGGTGTTATGGGGTGCCTAATACTTTTTTTATACTTAATCGACTCTCGAACCTATTTTCTAATTTCACATACCATCCTTACCTATCTTAAATAGTTTTTTAAGATTTTTCTCAAAATTTTGGTGGTGATTTCCATTTAGCCGGTTTTTGCTTAGAAAGGCCGAAACTTCTGCTCTCGCGCGCTGTCCACTTCGCATTTTTAGGTGCGACACCACTATTTTTTAAATACTTTTTATCAAGTTAAGGGTTATTTTTATCCTTCAACACAAATATTTTATGCTAAAAATATTAAAAATATAATGCGGGGCTCACTAACGGTGATAAAATGGTAAGGTAATGAGAAAAGAAATCTTTAAAGTTGAGAGACAAAATTAATTATTGTTAAATATAAGGACATTTGTGACTTTTCGTGTACAGTTAAGGGTAAAAAATAACCCTTGGACATGAAAAAAAATGCCCCTTTACAGTGTCTTTAATATTCTTATTAAAATGAGCCTTTCTCCATGGTATAGCAACCTATTAATTAATAATCCACCAATCTAAAAAAGCATGAAAAGGAAACTAGCTGGTTTTCATAAAATAAACAATACAAAATCATATATGTGTATATACACACACTCACAAATACATCTATATATACATTTCTTGAGGCATGACTCTTATACATTTGCCAGCAAACTATTACTGAATTATTGAAACAAATGTACATAAATGCTTAATAAACTAACTTGGAGTTGTATTAATGATCATTTATTAGTCAAAGAGCTCCCAGTTGTGAGAGATGACAGTAGTGGATGATTGAAATATCTCCCATTTGGTGCTCACCGACACTGCTTTATTATTATTGTTGGCAATGGTAAAAGCATTACAATTTCTTGCCTTGAGGTTGTCAAGTGTCTCTACATAGTCCTGCACGCGACGTACCTGCGTACATGCATAGTGCAACGCCTCAGATAATTGAGATCTAGATTGTTGATATAATTTAATTTTAACGATTTACATTTAAAATTTTTATTTTTATTGTATATTTATTGAAATAAAAATTATATATTTTTTTAATAAATTTATTTAATAGCAATTGGATAGTCTAGATTCAATTCAGATTTTCCAAATTTAATATTAAGATTTTTAATAATTTTATAAATTCATTATTTGGATTTACTTTGAACAATCCAAATTTAAAATTTTAACTTACAATTTTTCAGAAATATATTTTTTAAAAAGTACCAGTTAGGATATTATCTTTATCTTTAATATATTATATTTATTAAAATAATAATTTATAAAAATTATAAAAAAATTAATATTAAATTTAGATTGTCCAAAATACATTTGTATGATCAATTTATAAAAATTATAAAAATTTAATATTGAATTAGATAATTCAGATATTAAATCAGAATTGTCCTGATTGATAATAAACTATTTATTCAAAAAAAGAAAACATATTATTGATTTTTATAGTTTTATCAAAAAAAATTTTAGTTCCTATAAGTTTTTTTCTAGTGTTTTTAAAAATATAGAAACTATAAGAACATACAAGAAACAAACATCAAATAATCTTATTGAAACTAAAAATACTAAAAAAAATACATGTATTAAAAACAAAACTCAATGAAATTATAAGGATCAATGAACATGTTTTGTTTTAAAACATTATAAATTTTTATTTTAATATAAAATAACATGGTATTGAGCTAGGAAGGCAAACCCTCAATTATGAGTTGTCTTCTAACTATTCATTGTTTTTAGATATTTTTTAGGCATTTTTAGTTACTCGTTGGGAAGCACCAAAACCATATATAGTCTCTTGCGTTATAGCAGCAGAGACACACAGTTTTATTGCCTGACAAATATAGTATCGACCCGATGAAATTTTTGCATTTTAAAATAGGATTATTTACTCATTAGAACATATATATATCTGCAATAGCTTCATCAAATTAAAATTTGAGTCATTAAGCAACACTAGCATCATTGAGTTCAACTATTTCAGGACCATAATTCTAACACAAATCTATGTATATAATATAAAAATTCTAGTAAGTTTTACTATTTATAATTTTTGAACAATATGTGTAGATGCACAGTACATTAAGTAGACTTTGTGTAATGCATGGGTTGTGTTTCTTTTTGGCCGGAGATTAGGGGTTGTTTGATATTGTTTTCATTTTTATTTTGAAAGATTATTTTACAAACCATTATTTTTAAAAAAATTTTTTTTTTAAAACAAAACAAGAAGAAAATATGTTTGATTATTTTAATTCAAAAAAAATTAAAAATTTAAGAAAATCAGTCAACAGTGGTGGTTGCCAATGATTGATAGTCCCTACTTCCTATAATAGTGATATCCAATAATAATTTTTAATAATCAAATATCTTAAAAACACAAAAAATGAAAATAACTCTAAGATATTTTTATTTAACAAAAAAAATTGAGAACAATTTAAAAATATTTTAAACTTAAAATACTTATCAAAACGAGTTTTTTTATTATTTGTAAAAGTAGAAAATAATTTTTAAAAAACCGAAATTAAACAAGTTTTAATTACCTCGATTCGTCTCTCTGCTTTAGCTTCTCCATCTGCCTCTATTGAGTCCAGTTTCAGCAACTGAACCATCAGCAATTCTGTCAATATCACAAATTCCTTCTCTGCAACTTTAGTGCCACCATTCACTGTTCTCTCCAAAGCACCCACCTTATTACAGTCATTAAATAAACATAACTTAGAAAAGAGATTCAATTTTTGAAAAGATTCAAGAATTAATTAATTAAGAAAATCATGAAGAATAAGAAGAAGAAGAAGAAGAATAACAACAGATAATACAACCTTTTCTGATAGCTTATCAACTTCTGATCTGACAATGGAAACTGATTCAGAAGCTTTTAAGATATCTTCATTCTTCTGAATCTCCTTAAGCTTCCTGTCTCTACTTGCAGGATCTTCCAGCAGTATAATCTTTGACATATCTTTCACTCCCACCATATCCAACCTTTCTTCATCCTCCTTCTCTTTCCCTCTGAATATCAATCTCTGTTCCTCAGGCTTCAAACCAGTCTCAGATTCAAGGGCTCTCTTCAGATCCCCTACAAATTAATAAAATCTCATGTTCAAACAAGCCAACAATGAAATAAATAAAGAACTTTAAAGAATATTATATATGGAAGTGGCCTTACCAAAAGTGGACTGTGGAGAGAGGGTAATACTGTGATGGTGATGAGAACCATAAGAGACCTTGATGTTGATCATGGAGGAGGAAGAAGAAGAAGAAGAGTGAAGAGGCTGTCTCTTCTGAACAAGCATACCACCAGGTCTGAGCTCCCATTCTATACTATTTGTATTGAACTCTTTGGTATAATTAACAGCTGATGATCTTTTCATGGTCACCAATAAAATTGGTGAAACATAGCATTAGGAAAAGGAAAGAGAGAGAAAAGACAGCGAGAGAGATGCAAGAGAGGAATATAATCAGAATGAATGAAGAAGAAGAAGATGATGATGATGCTGGAGTAAGCAAGCAAAAGAGGTATAGGACGGTGACCCCTCAACTGTCATTTTCATTCAGAAATAGCGGTTGGTCCGTTGTGACATTAATTAATTTCTAAAAAGAAAAGTGGGTGTAAATTGAAAAATGCTGGTTGCTCAATTATAAATATCATTTGTTAAGTTATAGATATGTAAAAATTAAAACTTGAAAATATTTTATACATTTTATAAGATTTTTTAACAATTAAATATCTTTTGTGAGACCTGAATATAATTTTGCCTTATTTATTTGATTTAATGGGATAAGATCGTTAATATAGCACTAAAATAAATGTTGTTGAATTAATGACTACCATATATAAAAGCTTATGATTTTATCTTTTTAAAATTATTTAAGCGATAATAATGAATAATATACTTATTTTTATATCATAATTAGTGGTCTTACAAAATTAATCTAGAAAATTAATTAAAATAGAAGATGACATTGGGTATGAAGAAATATATTGAAAAAAGCTTGGGAAAGAATATAAGTTCGGTGTAAAGTATTCCCTCTAATAGGGATGAGCAAAATTAAATCGAAATAAAAAATTCAAGATGAGCAAAATTGAATCGAAATAAAAAATTCAATAGAATCAAATTTTTATTGTTTGATTTGATTTATTCAATTTTTTGGTTTGATTCATATTTTTTTAAAAAAATTCAGTTAATTGGTTTGATTTTGTTAATAAAATTTAAAATGAAATAGACTGAGCCAACCAAACTATATGTAAATTATAAATTATATTATATTATATTTTTTAATTTTATATTTAAATAAAAATAAAAATATAATCTAATAAGTATTACTTGAAACTCTAATCCTAAATATAAATAGATTTTAGAAAAATTTACATACCAATAAAATCCTCATTCTTATAAAAATATATAACATTTTCTTTTTTTATTTTTAATCCTAATTACCAATGTCTTTCATGATAAGTAAGAAATAAATTTATACATGGATCCAGGTTAATAAATGTAAGAGGTAAATGGAAAAAATATTCTACATACACTAAATTATTCATATTTTAAATTAAAATTAGTTAAAAAAAATGCCTATATTTTAAATGGGAAAGAGTATGAGCCTAAGAAGCACAACAACACGTGGGAGACACTCCTGTCTCCTAGTTCACGGAGGCACAGTACCATATTTTTTTTTATTTTTTGAAAAAGGGAAGAAACAAAAAAAGTTTGAGAATAGCTAGGACTATCATTTCTTAAGCTGGAAAAAGTAGAAATAATTTTCATGGTTCATGGGTTTCTTAACAATTGGTTTAAGCATAGTTAATTAGGGCTATCATGGGAATTATTTTTCGATTCTTGGAAAGTGATGATGAGTACTGAAATCTGGACCGTTCATATTTATTTTTATTTTTATTATTTCTTAAAAAAATTTTAACGGATGCAAAATTTAAAAGAAAAAATTTCAATTAAGGACCTGGGAAAATATGTAATAACAATTAAAGACTAAAAAAAATCATGAAATTAAATTTATGGACTATGGTCCTTTTTGCAATTTAAAAAAAAAATCTTTTGATTAAAAGCCCCCTTACACTAACTAGGCAATAGAGTATTTCAAAGAAGAAGGTTTAGTCAAAAGATTTAAAAAAAAATACAAAAAGGACCATAATCCTTAAATTTAATTTCACAATTCTGTAGTTCTCAATCATCATTACTAGTTTTTTAAGGTCCTTAATTATAATTTTTCCAAATTAAAATAGAGATAATCTCTTAACGGTCTCTTTCCCAAAAAAAGATAAAACTATTGACTTTTTTTGTTTTTTCACCAACAACTATTGACTAAGAATTATAAATATGAAACTTCAAATTTGAATTTTAAGACGGATTTTAACAATCCAAATCTAGTTGCAATGATTCAGTGTTTATCACTACAATGAGCACTAAAATTGGACTTGGCATCACAAGTTTGAAAAGGTAGAAATAATTCTTGGCTTTCTTGAGAATTGGTTTTGGGATTGATGCAAACCTATGGCGATTCTAGATTATAATTGACGATCAATTTTGCATAAAGCAAAACTTGTTTTCAAAGTATTTTGCAAAAGACAAAGGCCCCTTAAGGCCATGTTTGGTGGAGTGGAACAATTCTTGAGAGAAATGAAAGGGGAGTAGAGGAGAATAGGGAGGCTTTTCAATGGAAATTGAAGATAAATTTTGGGATGAAGATGTGTTTGGTAAACAAAAAAGGGATCATGAAATATATTTTTATGTTACCAATTTGGGATAGTGAAACTTTTAATTGCTCAAATTTACTTCAATTATTGATTTGGTCCTTGATATTTAAGGAGAAGATAACATAATTAAAATTTTTCAAACATGAATAAGGGAATATTACTGGTAGCGATATGGATTAATGAAAAGAAATGTAATTATTTAGGTAGAAAAAACAAACTAAAAAATTTTTAAAAACAAAAGAACAAAATGCAATATAAGGGATTAAATTAATAAAAATTAAACTATTTCAATGGCTAATTTGTTCTCATTCAAATACATACATTGTGTGTATACTTTACATATTAGATTAACTTGATAGTTAATTTCTATTTTAAAACTTAAATGACTAGTATAATAATTTAAAAAAATTGTAAAGGGAAAAATCAATTAAAAATAAATTTAAGAGACTAAATCAATAATTGAAGTAAACTTGAAGGGCTAAAAATTTTACTATCCCTAAAAGTTTGGGATAAAAATATGAAAAGTGATCAAATGATACGAACACCATTTATCAGAGCAATCAAGTTATATGAATACCATTCATTAGAGCAATCAAGTAAACTCTTCAAAATTATAAGCACTACTTGAAAAGGGAGAATTTCATCTGAGGACCACAATCATTAGTTATTTTAAATCAACCCCAAAAAAATGTGAAAATGTGCTCCAAGCTCGAAGGACTTAAAAAGTGAATAATGCTATGGACACAATAAGTAACGCAACAAGATTGGCAAATAATGTTAGCAATTTTATGAGTAATGTTAATAATTTGACAAATCATTAGATGGATTTAAAATAATATAGGTTAGATAATGTACAAGTAATGTTATGGATTTAACAAATAATACAAGAAAAATTAACAAGGTAATGACAGCAATTTTACAAGTAAATTTAATTATTTAACAAGTTGTGATGGATGAATTTAACACATGTTAGATAATGCACAAGTACATTATGGACTTAACAAGTAATACAAAAAAATTAATAAGTAATGTTAGTGATTTTAAGAGTCAACTTAATAATTTATAACAAGTTTTGTGGATTAATATAATACAAGTAAATAATGCACAAGTAATGCTATGAACTTATCAAGTAACATAAAAGAATTAACATGTAATGTTAGATATTTTATAAGTAAAGTCAATAATTTTCCTAAATCATTTATGAAGAGTATTTTGGTCATTTTATTTTAATATTTTATTTCACTTTAATTCCAAATATATTGCTTTGTAATTCCAGGTTTTTTGGGTCTGATTTATTAATAACTAATTACTGTAGTCCTTAGATGAAATTTTCCTATTTTAAATTTCCCATTATCCATACCAAACATGATTTAAGATCCAATTCATATATTATATTTTGTAAATCATGGTGAGGAATAATGCAATTGGAGGCTTTAATGCATGTAAATGTTTATTATGGCAAGATCCACAAGAGAAGGATGATTTATAAATTTAAAGAATTTTTTGACTTTTAATAAACTTATCTTTTGATGTTAGCTCTTCTTTTAAACTTGACGCGCATAACAATTTATACTTTTGTTGATAAGTTGATGTCATATGGAGAGTTACTTCTTATTCTTACTTCCCCCCCTTATGAGATAAAAGAATTACTTCTAGAAAAAATAATAATAAAATATTTTTAAATTATTTAAATGACTAAATAGTCTTTCAAAATGTCATAATTTTATGAAAGTCCCTAGGGATTTCTTTATCAATAAATTTTAAATTAAAAAGATCATTTCATCTTTATTGACAAGTTGTAATTTGTTGTTCAATTCTTATAATTTTTTTTTAAATTGTAACTTCTTAAACAAAAGTTGTGGATGAGGTTTGTTATTTTGAGAATTTATTTTTCAATAATAAAAACTATACTTGATAAATTATAATTTTTTATTCAATTCTTGCGATTCATAGAGTAAAAGTTGTCGTTCCTTAAATAAAAGTTGTAATTGAAACTTATTTTTAATAACAAAAATTACATTTGATAAGTTGTGATTTTTTATTCAACTCTTGTGATTTACAGTATACAAGTTGAGATTCATTAAATAAAAATTATAATTAGAATTTATTATTTTTATTAAAAATAAAATAGTCTTTTCACTTTAAAGTTTATTGACATAAAAATTCTTAAAAATTTTACTGAAATTATAATATTTTAAGAGATTAGATTATTATTTATATAATTAAAAAAAATTTTATGGTCATTTTCCCTTACTTCTAATCTTTTAATCTCGGCTTTTTTTGGTGGGTAAAAGAGTTTCTTCTTCTTGGATTCTTTTTCCCTATGACCAAGAGTATTCTACGTTATTTGAAATGTTAGTACTGTTTAGAAAATGTTTAAAATTGGATTGATCCAAAGAGAGACGTAGGAGAGGGAGTGTGGTGAGTCCAGTTATAATTTCCATGGATTAGTATGGGCTCGTCAATTGTAAGGCCTAATTACTGAATGGGCCTTTCCGTACTTGGGTTGGTCCAGAATAGATGCCCCATCATTGAAAAGGTTTAGTAGTAAATTAAAAGTTTACCCTTTTTATTAATTTAATTATTCTTTTAAAATAAATTATCTCAATTTAATCATTTAAATATTAATTTTAAATAATTTGATCCTTTAAACTAAAGATATCAAATTAACAATCAAATATTTTATTCTATTTTTTTTTGGCCGATAATAGTTTTGTTCTATCCAAAGCAGTCATTTATTAAACAAAAATAA